GTTATCACGTGATTAAATGCACAAGAACGCGATGCAATTTTTTGCGAAGAAAGTACAATATCTCACTAATCACTAAAGCTATTATTCTTTTTACAATACTTGTCGCTTTTCGTCGTCGTGACAGCTTCAAACATTCCTCTCAAGGTGAAGATTAAAACACAATAAATTTTCATCGTCGACATTGAAAACTTAGAAGACTATAATCAGTTTTTTTCAGCATATTATACACATTATTAGGCTATTTTCGCATTTCTATTATCTTGAAATCGCGACAATTATCACCTTTTACATTTCCGTCGATTAAAACATTCACGCTAAAATTTAATTTGCGGTATTTAATTTGCAAATCAAATCAATCGCAAGTGTACTGCCGTCAAAGCAAGTGTAAATAAATACAGGAAGTTATTGCATATTGCCGAAGTAATTGCTAGAAGTAGTAATAAGCCTATTAAATGTTAATAGAGAGAATTCCGCAGACTCGCCATTTTAAAATATTAAAATGTTAATGTCTCTATTTACGATAAAACAATCTACCGATATACCCGTTTGTTTCCTCAAAGCTGTTCGTTACGTGTTCAACGATACAGTGTCGCATTAAATGCGCAAAATTCTGGATCGCTTCGGAAATAATCACGATCGCAATGCAATAAAAACGGACATTTCGGAATCAGGAAATACTCGATGCAAAACGCGTCATGCAAAGCAAACAATAACTTTTTCAACCCGTGCCAAGGGTGTCTTGGCAGGAGCGGAAACGCATAGAAATGTGATCGCATTTGTAGAATATCGAGATTCAACATCGTAATACGAGTCGCGCGAACCGAACTATGTAGACCGATAATTCTAACTCGTCCTTATCGCTATCTGTCCGAAGCAGACGTCTCAGTATTATTATGGATTTCACGTGATCTACGATGCACAGATGGGCGCGAAAACGGCGATGAAGAAATAAAAATTCATCAAGTCAGCGATCAGTCTCAACATTTGCGTAGATAAGAGCGATTATGCTGAAATTCGCATTTATTTTCTTGTCCCGAACTTTCATTCGCGTTTCGTTCATCAAAGCGAGGTTTTTGATCGAAATAAGAAAACTCATGCGATTATTGAGTTTACAATGCTGTCGAAAATAGCGAATGTGCGTGAAGAAGAAATTTACTGACTAAAAAAATTGAATTCGGAGTTTTTCAATTTCATTAAAATATATACGATTGAAACGTTTTTTGACTTTGCTTTGCTGAGGAAAGTCTCATTAGGTCGAAATGTTCGTTTAATATAATAAAACTATTAGTTGTTCGATTAATTTCGTGGCACGAATTTCTTCTTCTTCACACATCGATTTCTACGTTTTGTCTATCATTGCCCTTCTTTTATGATCGTGTATTTCAGAGTTTAATACTCTTTTTAAAGATTCATTTTTTTTTTCATACATACGTTTTTTTTATATATGTTACGCATCATGCTGGGGGGATGAAGACCATATTCGGTCAAGACGAGTCTCAGTACCTAATAATATTTTTATGTGAATTTTACAACTTTCAGTTCAAGCAAACTATTCAATTATTCGGATTTTACAGTTTTCGGAATTTTTGAACAAATTTTTCGTCGCGAATTTCTCTTTTTAATCTGACATCTCATACAATTTTTCGACTCATACAATTTTTCGACTCTAAAAATCGTTTAGCAAATGTATTTTATAAATGCGAATTAAATGAAGACTATTAAAAATTATAATGATATTAAATTAGAAAATAATGATATTAAATAATGAAGAAAATCGATATTAATGTATATTTCTTCCACGAAGAAATTTCGGTAGAAACCGTTAGAAGTTTTAGCCCTAGCCCTAGAAGACTGTTCGTTGATTAACGATGCCCTTATAGAGACATGACGATTTATTACGCTAATTGTCGTATTAGCTAATCGCCTATTTATCGTTTCTACGCGATATGAGGATACGATCCGATACGAGAAACTATACGGGAGATTTACAATTTTTACCAGAGCTCATTACGACCTTTCTAGTTCCATTCCTTGGTGAGCTCGTCCGTCGTGGGAATCCATTCTTGCTTCACGTAAATCAAACCTGGATCGTAGTGATCGCCGTGATGCTCTTCAAGGTTCCGCTGATGGGACCTTGAATTCCGATATTCTCAGTACTTCTGCAACGTTATCGGCAGATTACCGCTGGTGTTGACGGCATTACAGTCTTGGTAATATCTGTGATAAAGCGGCGGAGACGGCGCCGCGCCCGTCGAAAGCGGCGTCGGCGGGCTGGACCTACGATAGATCAGACCGTGTTCTGAAGATATAGCTTTTCTGTAATTTTTCTATGTCTAAAAAAATGAATTTAACACGCCACTATTCTCGATGATACTGTGACTACTTTTTTTATATATTAACACCCTGTTTATCCAGACAGTGTATTAAAATTTTCAAAAATGTATGATGATAAAATATTATGTAATTAAATAATTCTCTTTAGTAATATGTTGAGTAGTGCACTTTAAAATATTATGTAATTAAATAATTCTCTTTAGTAATGTGTTGAGTAGTAACACTTTTCATTTTATAATATCTAGCTGTTTATTTTATGTCATTAAAAATTTTCTACAAGAAATTTTGATAACGCCAATCATCAACAAAGATAATATAATAGAAATTCTTGGAATTATAAATTTTTTTTAAGGTTATGAAAAATCCTATGTAACAATGCTTAGAAACAATAATTTATTTATTTATTATATATTAGTTATTTTAAGTATTGTTGTAGTAATCACTTGGTGCTTATTACTCAAGGATATTAAATCTTACTTGAATATCAAATCAACAAATTAATTGTAGTCTCATTTACTGTTTACAAGTGTATTACCTATTGCTTACTACTTTTACAAAATAATGTATAACAAAATTAAATGCAACTAGTGCCATTGATACAAAAATTGGATACAATCGCAACTGAATTCTACAATTGTCATATGATGAAAATGATTTACGTTACAAAATAACTTATATTATTTCTTTATTATTTATCATATGATCGTATTAATATATAAAAACTCTCTCTCCGTTCTCCGTAAAGAAACAGATTTTGCGTTTATTAATCGTACGAGCACGAGACTTCCATTATCGAATTAGGATCTCGAGGTGAGCATCACATTTTCTTGAACGATGTGAAACGATTCAGGTATTCGTTTTGGTACTCATTCTGGTACTCGTACCTGTAAAGCTGACAGCTCGGAGACTGGGTGTCTTGATAGATCGCTGTGTCGGGACTGGCGTCTTGATACCACTGCGAATGACCCACGGTGTTGCTCGCGTGATTCCGCGCTGTGTTGTATTCATGGTCCATAATGGCGTATCCGGCGGCCGCCGGTGCACAATACGGTGTGTACATGGTGCCGGGTGGCGAGGCGTTGCCTCTGGAAACGGTACTGGTATGTCCGTAGCCGCTGGTGGCCATCATCGCCGCCACCGCTGCCGTCGTGGTAGTCGTAGTGGTGCCCGCGGATGATAGATCCCTGCTACCGCTGCCCATGGATTCCCTGCTACTCATAATTGAATGCGGATGCTGGAGCCCATGCGGATGGTGCGAGTGGTGCTGATTATCACGCGTCATCAGACCGGCATTGTTCTCCCGTGTCGTCATTAGTGCATCGACGCTGAAGCTGGTTGGATCTAGACCGGCCATCGACACGTCTTGGATCGACTCCTGATGCACTTGGTGCGCCTGGTGCACTTGATGACCCAGAGCTGTCTGGATAACGCTCTGACCAGGGGCCGCGACCGTTGCCGTCGTCGTCTTATCCTCCTGTATCGGACTGTGCAGGCCGTATTTGCTAGCTTGAACCGCAGCAGCCGCAGCCGCCGCTGCCATGCAATGATTATCGTTCACCGGTTCTCGTTTGGGCTTGCATAGACCGGTGGCCTCCAGAGCGCCCAATTTCTTCGTCGAAGTGTCCGATGGTGGCGGCAATGCAACCTGACTATTACTAGATTTAACATCCTCCTGACGTTTCTCCGGTAGGATACCCTGTCGTTTTAGCGCCTCTTCCTTTTCCTTCAGCGCATCCTTCTTCTTGAAACGCCTGCGACGTCTCAAATAAGAACCATTATCAAACATATTATAGCTATCCGGATCTAAGGACCAATAACTCCCTTTTCCGGGTTTCTTATCGTCTCGCGGCACTTTCACAAAGCATTCGTTCAGGCTGAGGTTGTGCCGGATGGAATTCTGCCAACCCTGCTTGTTTTCACGATAATATGGGAAACGGTCCATAATGAATTGATAGATACCATTCAGCGTAATCTTCTTGTCGGGTGCATTTTGGATGGCCATCGCGATCAGTGCGATATAGGAGTAAGGTGGTTTCACCATATCCTTGCCGGCGTGATGAATGTGCTGCTGTCCGATACCTGACACTGGATATCCTGTAGCCGTTGCATAGCCACCGTATCGATACTGCTCGTAGTAACTACCGGGAGCACCGACCGCCGGGTACGACGGCGCGCCCATGCCCATCGGCACCGTCGCCGCGTGCCGATAGTACGCATTCTGCTCGCTGAAGAGCGTGTGCATCTTCGCGCACTCGCTCTCAGTATGATCCACGGACGACGATCGCGATCGAAACACTTGCTTCCAATTGGAGCGAGGGAATGATTGTTCTCTTCACGTCTCTTCACGTCTCTTCACTATTCCAGAAGAGATTCTCTAACGCACATATTTCTATCTTTTTTAACGTCTCCAACTCGCACAATTATTCTTCATGAACGTTGAAAAGAGTCTGGGAGAATGTCGTTATATTGGAAAATAATTATATTCAAAATTTTATTTTATGCAGTCTTTTGTTTTCTATTATATTATTTATCACTTTTCGAATTCTTCCTTGAAATTCTAAGCTGTCCTATTAATAGCGATCATATTTTTCTCGTTTTCGAATTATAAATCACTTGTGTAGTCTTTCTTCACAATTCACTTCGAATAAAAGTATATATAAATCGGTATCTTTTAAATATACAAATAATATATAAAAGTTTATATTCGATAAAGAGTATCGCTATTTTTCGAAATCATTCTTCTACATTTATTCTGCATTATCATTGTCCTCTTTTCACAGTTTCACTTATATCACTGACTTGGCAAGTAGGTGTTAAACAATAAAACATTCTTAATTAATATTCATGTCTTAATTTTTCAATCGAATTATTATTATTATTATTATTTTTATTCGAATTATTGTTATTATTATTATTATTTTTTTCGTTATTATGATAAAACCCGCGTTTGCACTATCACTTATTTGTCGCTTTGAATGCACTTGGAGCGCCGTCACTGCATCACCGTGGACCACGCAATCCAAAGTATTTTCGATCGATAGATCTCTAATGAGCGATCACGTTGAAATCCCAAAAAACACGGCGTCGTCGCTTATGGACTCTGCGGCGCACCCCGCTGCTTCGTGATACTTTGTTGACCGTATCCCGGGAATCCTCGTCTTAGACACGGTGACGGAAGACGGGGTGTGCGAGGCCGCGACAGGAAAGTAAAGGCAGGAAACGAAGATGCATTCAGTTGAACAGTGCGACTCGGCCGCTAGCGCGAGGACGCACGCTAACCCCGTTAGCACCCGCGTGTGCACGCCACGGTATTATGATACACAACAGGCCGGAGTTTACTCAACCCCGAGTAAAAACACACTGGGAGCTCGGCGTCGCGCGCGGATCGGAGTGCTCGTCGGCCTCGGCACGACCGGAGGACGGTTGCGCCGTTCGTGCGCCTTCGAAAAATCACGAGGTTTCCTACACATCGTGTTACGCCATTGGCCGTGCGATCGTGGAGTCGTGCGTGTCTCCGCCCACATTGCAGGACCAATCCGCTCGGAGCGGTGAATGCCGTCGTATATGACCGCCCTGAATGAGATTCTGCCAATAACCGTGCGGTAAATGATCGCATGGTCACGCCCTCGTCACCTCGCGCAAGGGCTCAGGACACTCCGTTAGTGAGACCAGCCGTACTGCACGCCGCGATGCGGAATTTTTCCGCGGCCATCGGCCGTCGGATACTTTTCGCGATACCAAGCGGACAACGAGCACGAGGATTAAGGTGGTGATCTCGGTGGATCTTGCCCGGAATAGCAGAAATTGCGGAAACGAGTGATAGTTGCATGCGCGCGGTGCCTCAGCTAAAAATTGAGCAAGTGTCGAGGATGTTTAGGGTGACAGTGACAAGAATGGTTTCAGACAGCCGTGTGATTGCGATTTCATAGCGCGCGCCTTTAAAAAAAGAACGAGCGTTAGACGTCATCGAGCAACGAAGATGCTCATCTTATCAAGTATTTCTTAAATTTTTTGTTAAAAGATATCAAGATATCAAGAAATCAGATTAAATTCAAAGATGGCATTGACGCTATTTGTGAGATTCGTCGATTGTGAAAGATTTTTGTTTTTGTTATATGATGCAACTCACAAGAAGTGCTTTATGGATTTTGACAGAGCTAAAATTTAAGCCATAGCGGTCCATATTCATGTTTTATATTTAGCGCTAAATCTACTCAAGATAACATTTGTGCAAGCTTGATATGATATAATAGAAAGAATTAAATGATAATTCAGTATTACACTGGTTAAATACGAAGCTCATTCATCTCACAAATGAGTTCTGCGAAATGTTTTAGTTGATTATATATATATATAAGAAATAATTTAAGTCGAAAACTTTTAATTCTGTAAAAAATGCCAACTGCGAAATATATTTGCCCAGTTGATTATCATCTTAATCTTCTTTATTTTAATTGATAAAAATGATTTAAAATCAACATGTACTAATTTTATATTTTACAGAAAATCATTCTAGAAAATAATTCTAATCAAATTATTAAAAAAGTAGAATATTATTGTTTTTAAATATCGATTTTAATAATTTATTTTAATAATTTACTGCTAATTCTTCATCTATTTAGAGTAATGTTCATCGATCCTAAATATCACATAATTTATAAATTTATGCGACCAAGAAATTCATGGAAGACATTGTGACGATAATGTCACGTGGATAGATGGAAAAGAGGCAACCTCGCGTTCTTGCAGCACGACACTTTCAATTTAGCGTCTGTTTTTCCAAGGGTTCGACTCTCGCCTTGCGAAAACACTCGACAGGACACGTCGCCACCCTCCATTTCTCGTCGTCAAGTTTCCTCCGTCCGAATCGTGCTATCCAGGTTCTCAAAATACCTTCGATCCTTCTAGACGCTCCACTTCCTGCCATTTAAATTGATTCGACGCAAATATAGTGCTTGTTACTGAAATCAAGTTGCGAAAGCTGAGAACAAGTTTGCCATCGGAAGCGATTGATTTTCTGCGTGCTAACATACTTAATTGTCTCCATCCTATATTGCAACATATATAATTTTAATATCTATAAATATAGAAGTTTTAGTATCTATAAATATAGAAAAATGGCAAGTATGTATAAACATATAAAAAATTATCATAAAATATATATATTCGCTTTTATAAAAAATATATAAAATATA